CAGTGGTGGCCAGGGGCTTGAGTGAGAGGATGGAGAATTAATATTTAATGGGTACAGAGTTTCAGTTTGGCAAGAAGTTCTGGAGACAGATGGTGGTGACGATTGCACACAATGTGACTATATTTCATGCCACAGAACAGTCCACTGAAGGAATGGTTAAAATGGTATGCTTTATGTTATGTATATTTTACCATGAATAGAAATAAATGTAGGGGGTTGGAATTGGATGCCTACATGAATTGGAGATCGAAAAAGAGAAAGGAATGAACTAAAAACAAACTTCTCACCAACTCAGGTAGATGATAAAGAAATCTAAGCATAGCTAGAAAATGAATGAATGAATGAATGAATGAATAATTTCCCTGGGAATTCATAATCACAGACCTGGGGCTCAAATTTTGACCTGGGAAGCCCCCACATGCAAAAGTAATGCAATTATGTTCTCAGTTAATGAGACCCCAAATGCAAAAGTAATGAAATTCTGTTCTCAGCTAATGGCAGAAGAAAACACACTAGTGTGGAATATATTATTGGAAGAACTTCTAGTATAAACATGTCCTTGCACTCCAAATGGATTTTTAGATTTATTGCAATGCCATCAAAATCCTAGCAGGTGTTTTTGTGGAAATTGATTAGCTGATTCTAAAATGCACATAGAAATGCCAAAGGCCCAAAGAAACCAAAACCATTTTTGAAAAAGCAGAGCAAAGCTGGAGGACTTAATCTGCCGGATAACAAAACTTTTTCATAAAGCCTTTACATCAAGACAGGATTGCCTTGGTACAAGGATAGACAAATAGACCAATGAGGCATTACAGAAACCTCCACATAAATTGGATATGCAGTCACTTGATTTATGGCAAAGTTGGTGGTGCAGTGCAATAATGAATCTTGACCCCTACCTAACACCATACCAAGAAAACAATTCTAAATGGATTAGAGAGCTATGTTGTTAGAATTCTGTCAATAACTTGGTAGGAGAAAAGACATTCATTGAAATAAGGGACGCTGAAATGTGAATTTTTCCTTAGTATTCCATGTTCTCTGTCAAGCACTTAGAAAATAAATTAGGTTGTGGTTTTTCTGGAATAGTTAGTGGAAAGATAGATGGGAGAGGTTCATGGCTTTCAAACTCTTTCAACTCAACTAATTGGATGAAAAAAAAAACCATATGAACTACATTGCCACTTGTGCTTACAGGAATTCTCTCTGAAGAAACTGCATTGGGGTATCCAAAGTTCAAGATAGGGTTTTTAGACACGAGTATTGCCAGTAACTAGATGTGTGATCTTAGGTAAATCACCACCTCCCTCTGGGCCTGAATTTACTCGAGACAAAATAAAGGGGGATATTTAAATAAACTTCGAAGGTATAGACATTTTACTGATCTGGTATAAGCTAACAGTCTGTTCCCCGGATGATGCACATGTCCATTACTTGCACAATTTTGAATGTTCTGGTTGTTTATGGATTTTCAAAAGATCATTCATGAACCTCCAAAGAATATATTGACCCTTGAACACCTGGAACATGTGATAATGGGTTTATAAAAGGAGGGATTGCCTTTTAGAGATGTGACCTGAAATTGTTATAGATGAAATAAGTTGATGTCTGGAATTTGCTTAGCATTATCCAGTGTGTGTGTGTGTGTGTGTGTGTGTGTGTGTGTGTGTGTGTGGGAAGGGTTAATAGATGAAACAAGATGATAAACTGATAATTGATGAAGCCAGGTGATTAGGTACATGATGTTTCTTCATACTGTTTTCTTTAATTTTGTGCATGTTGATATTCTCCACCATAAAATAAATGTACATAATAAAATTATCCATCATTTAAAAATTACCTGGAATAGATGATCTTTAGTGTTTCCAATTCTGATATCCCATGATTTAGCAGCGCAAAGCATCTGCCAAGAAATGCACTTCTGGAAACATTTTATGTGCTCAGGGCATTGAATCATCATCATTCCTCTTCTATTGAACTCTCTGGACTAAAGGGTTTGTCGTGGGCCTCATTTTCCGGATGATTCTGTGATATTCCATTTAATTACTTCCACAAATATACTTTCAGGGAAAGGGCAGCAAAACCAAAATCTAGAACCTGGACAAGAATTGGTTTGTAATCATAGCATGTGATACTGTGGCTCAATTCATTTTCAAATATTTCTTAAGACAAGAAGGCCAAAATAACTGCTGTAAATGACTTTTAGTGGCATGGAAAATACTGGGTTAGGATGTTAGGTGAAATGGGAGATGTGCTGTGGTTGAGAACTCACACTCCCGACCAATGCCACCTGAGTCCCTGTCCTTGCTGTGTCACTCAACTACGAGCTCTTGAGGGTAAGTCACCTTTCTGAGCCTCCACTTCCCTACCCATGAAATGGGAATACCAGTGCAATTGCCTTCAGAGGGTAATCCTGGATAGTCACGTTGTGCCCGACATGTAGCAAGCATTGAGTAGATGCGCACCCTTGTTCTCTCAATTGGGCAAATATAAAAGAGATGAAAAAGGACATACGATATAGGTCAAACATTATCAGTAGCTGCCTGTGGGTTTTGGCCAATAGGCGATCTTATTCTTTTTTTATTTTTGCTTGGACTTTGCAAATTTCTACAAAAAGTGTTTGTTACTGTTATCATCAGAGAGAAAGGTTTCCTTAAACAGTTATTTTAAAAATGTTTCTTGAGAAAGTTGAATGCCCAGGCTTGTCCCACTTGGTGCTCAGACAAACAAAGCACTTCAGAGGAGTAAGATGGAATGATTGCTACTGCTGTGCTCACATTTTCCTCACCAGGCTCTCATCTGTCGGAAGATTCTTGCAAATGCCAGGGAGCCTTCGGATGTGGCGTGCCTGGTGTAGAATGAACGGAGGCTGCCTCTGCCCCCGTTTCTCGCCATCCTGCCTCCTCACCACACATTCCTCCACACCATGGGACCCTTAGAGACTATCACAAAGGCTGTGCCAAGGAGAATTCGTTCGGGTGCACTGTTTTGTATTCAATTTCCTGGGGTTCAGGTCCCTCCCCCACCCACCCCCTAATGCATAGCCCATCTCCACTGATTAAGAGCACCTAAGCCATGACAGCAAATTTAGGAATGTGTAAACAGACTTCAGGCGTGTTTGAGAAACACTGACGTGTACAAATCCGAAACCATAAGCCAGATAAATTGGTGGTTAATTATGGCTATTACATAGGTCGTTTTTGTGTTGCCAAAGAATTTACATTAGGATATCTATAAATAGCAAGCCCATGTGGTGTGCTTGAACCCGGCTGCTGTGTATCTAAATGCTAAGCACTTTCCAGAACTCACCTACTGCAGAGCAACAGGCCCGATTCAAAAAGTTTAATGCCGTCCTGGCCGGGTGGCTGAGTTGGTTGGAGCATGATCCCGTGCCCCCAAAGAGTTCGGACTTGATTCCCAGTCAGGGCATATACCTACCTAGGGTGTGGGTTCGATCCCCAGTTGGGGTGCCTACAGGAAGCAATGGATTGATGTTTCTCTCCTTTCCTGTCTCTAAAATTCAATAAATGCCAGCTTCGCTCTTGAGTATAGCTACATTCATTTTCAGGATTCTAGATCACCTTTGAAATGGCCACTAACCCATATCACTTAGGTGACTGATGGTCAAGGACGGACAATGAGACACCCGGACACTTCTGGGTGGAGAAGAGTGGTCCGTGTGTGAGGGTTGTGAGGCTGTCCTGGAGCGGGTCATCTGGGGCCAGAAGGATGCCACCTCCTTTTCTCAGGTGGGAGTATACCAGGGTGGCCTTCAGCTCATCTCACCTGTTCCTCACCATGACTCTGCAAAGTGAGGCTTTGCCCTTATTTCCAAGTGTTTTAGAAAAATGGACACACATGCCCCAGGTCAGACATCTAGCAGAAAAATCTACATAAAAACAAGAAGCATGCAGAGCTCTCTGTCTTGGATTACCTCCTAACTTCGGGGGCTGGGATATGTACGGTGCCCAGCGATGCTTAAACTGAAAGCCACTTAGCTGTGATTTTGCTCCTTTCATGGGTCAGTGGCTTCCAGGGGTGTGTGGGGAGGCAGAGAAGGGGGGTTCCTTGGCTTCCTCAGACCTGCCCTCCAAACTGGCACCCCTGTTTCCTTCACTCTTACACAACGACCCCCCCCCCCCCAATATGCTGGGGGAACTCACTGGGAGACCTGTATAAAGAGCCAGGAACCTTGCACTTCTAAAAAATCCATCCAACTACCAATTCTATCTTACAGTTCTCACTCCAAATGGCATCTCCCTGCCAGCGGCGGCATTTCCCTGGATCCTCTTCCAAGATTGCCAAACAGGTGCCTGGCACCCACGAGAGTTTCAGAGCAGCAGCGACAGGAGAGGTGCCGCGGGTCGGTTCTGTGTACGTGTTCGCGTAACTCAGAGAAGCAAATGAAAGTTCCGCGAGTGTTAACTTCCACCAGAGGAGCATCCCCGTTCCCGCCACCACAGCCTTTCCCACCGCCCAGTGTTCCTGAAACCCGCGGCATCCGAAGTGCGGGCTGAGCTCTGGTAAGCGGAGGGTCTCGGAGACGCTCGGGATCCAGACAACCCTTTGCTGGCCCGCAAACGCCCTCCTGGCTTTTCTGGAGGAATAGCCCTGGGCTGTCCCCTCCGCCCCCAGGAGCCGCCTAATACCCACAGGCGTTTGAGGCACAAACAGGCAAAGAACAATTAAGCTATTAGCATTCAAGAGCGCGATCTCTGACCCCGGGGTCCAGGTGAATTGCGTGAGCTCGCGGGGCAGAAGCCCAGCGAAGCCCGCGGGGTGTGAGGGCGAGGAGGCTGGATCCACAGGAACGTGGTCCAGCACCCTGAGCGGCGAGTCGAGCCAGACACTCAGGTCTCAAGGGAGGACCAGTGCTTGAAACCTGGTGGACTTAGGGGGCCCGTCTCAGCCCCCCGCGCCAGTTCAGAGGAAACCAAGGTGGACAGATAGGGGCACAAAAGGAGAGTTTGGTTCTCCCGGGGCAATGCGCGCGGTACCTTGGATTCCTGGCTGCCGGTGGATGCCGGAGAGGGCGGCTGCTCGGCGCTCGCTGCCTCCTCGGGCAGCCTGTCCACGCCGTCCTGGCGGGCGCCGCTCGGGGGGATCATCGCGGCGGCGCGGGCACGGTGCGGGGCTCCCGGAGGAACAGCGGGGCTCGCCTTCCTCCGGTGCGCCCTCCCCGCCGCGCGCTGGGTGGCTCAGCTCGGGGTTCCAGGGACTCCCATCCTCGCCGAGGCTCCGATGCGCCCTCCACCGGCCTCACCCCCGCCCTGCCCACGTCCCCCGCGCTCCCGTGGGGAGAGGAGAGCGCGCCCCGCCCCGCCCCGCCGAGCCCACAGCCACCTCGCTGGGGACCCAAAGGTGGCGACTGCCCCCGGCAGCGGGCGAGCGGGCTCCGATTCAGGCTCGATCACCCCGGAGAAGCGGGAGGCGGGGAGACGGCTCCGGGCGGGGCTGCGGGGCCAGGGCCAGTAGCAAGGGCAGGCAGGGGCGCCCGGGTGAGAGCCAATGCTGGGGGCTGGGCGTGCGCCCGCCGGGTCGGGGTGATTCTTTCGCGGGGGGTGGGAGGGGGTCAGGGAAATTCCGACCAAACCCGGGAATGCATAGAAAACCCGAGAGTGACTCAGCCAGGAGGAACCACCTGCAACAACTCCCTCATTCCTCACGCTGAGAAGCAGCCACTCAAAGGGAGGCAGTGACTTAGCCAAGTTATTTTTAGGGTTCGGTGACGGAGATCAGGGACCAAAGCTGGGGTTCCCTGGCTTGAGAGCACCAGGCTTCCCGCCATTCAGCGTGGGACTGAAGAGAGAATGAAATGCGCCTGTGGCCTCACTTGGTTGTGCTTTCTGGAGCTAAAGCCCCTTAGGCTTTTCATCTCACTGGATGCCCAGAGCCACACTCTTGGGCTAGGGTGGGTACTACTACTTCCATTTTATAGATGAGACGACTGAGGTTTTAGTGGGGCTAGAATTAGAACCCATTTTGGCTTCAAAATCCATGCTCTTTAGACTGTGGAGCTTCCAATCTCGGCCAGATCTTCATCGCTGTAGAGCAACTGGGTGTTGCCCTATAGAAATGAGTTCAGGGCTGTTCACAGATAGGCAGGCCATTCTGCCTGAACAGACTTTATGGAAACATAGACTTGGCCCCATTGGATAAAGTGGCAGAAGGATCCAGGATTTTTTAAAAAATATATATATTTTTATTGATTTTACAGAGAGGAAGGGAGAGAGACAGAGTTAAAACATCAATCAACTGCCTCCTGCAGGACCCCTACTGGGGATGTAGCCCACAGCCAAGGTACATGCCCTGCGTCTGGAATTGAACGTGGGACCCTTCAGTCTGCAGGCCGATGCTCTATCCACTGAGCCAAACCAGTTAGGGTGGATCCAGTATTTTTTGAAGATACAATCTCTACATAGGGAAAGGAAATAGATCTAGATTTTTAAAACACTTAAAAATATGCAAAAGTCCTTAATTTCCTAATAGAAAATAGTAAACTTAAGTTTAGATTTGGTCTATTAGCTGTGAATGTGTGCAAGGCCAGCCTCATGCTTGCAGCGTGTGACGTGACCCAGACTCCTGCACTTGGTTCAGTGCTCTTCTGTTGCTTCCTGAAATTTTTAATAAGTTTTGAACAAGGGGCGCTGCATTTATATTTTGCCTTGGACCCTGTGAATTACGTATCTGGTTCTGCGTGTTCGCTTTAGCTCATGCCCTTTGGAAAGAACTTATTGCTTTTTCCATCCATTGAAAACTCCTGTTCTGAGTGACAGCCTCTCACTGGACATTTGGCACTCAGAGAGCTCTAGATACCACGGTATCCCGTCGCCTCTCATTTGATCAGGCCAGGATGGCTAACCCAATAACCATGGCTTTATCCTCCTCAGAACACAATTCCTGATTGTTCCACAGAGACAATTTCTGACAGCTAACGTCACAACAGCAGCAAACAGAGCACACAATGACAGAGCAGCACTGTCAACACAACTTTCTCAAGCATCTCTTCTGTACCAGGCATTGTGCTAGAAACGAACAGCAGAGAGAAAACATAGATTAAGTCTGTTCTCCTGGAACTTAGAGCCCAGTGAGAGAGATAGGAATTAATTAATGCACACACACACACACACACACACAGGCACACACACACGCACGCATTTCCCATGAACTGTGATAAGGAAAAGTATAGGACTTGAATGAATATATACAGATATGAAGCCTGATCTAATGCGAGGAAGTGAAATCCCCAGGGTCTATGGGCAATTCCAGCCTTGATGGCTTACAACATGGGCTTACAACAAGGAATTTTTCATCCTTGGATTTTATTTTACTTTTGTAAGAACTGAAGAGCAGCTGTAAGAGGGAAAGGGATTTATGTGAAAGAAACACAGGAGCAAAGTCTTGATCAGTTCTGGAAACTACAGGTAGTTCCAGTTTCCTAAGAGAGGTAGCTATTATTCATCAGACCAAGGATTTCTGTTACTAGTTAACACGTCTTATTGTCTTATTCTTCAAAACACATCTCCAAACATTTTTTTTACTCTTGAAAAATCTCCTTCCTTGACCCCGTTAATCTGATTTAAAGTCCCAAACCATGTTCTCATGGCAACCTCTCCTAAGTAATCAATGGTGAAGCTGCCTGTCCTCCCGCTGGGCTCCGAGCTGCACGAGGGCAGGGACCATGTCGTGTTCATCTTGTTTCCTCAGCCCCTGGCACAGTGTTTGTTAATGAGATGTGAAAGGAGATTGCCCTGGTAGCCCCCTGAGCCTTAACGTAGCCTCGGCATCAGTTACTCCGAGTGCCCTCCGTGCACTGAATGGAGAAAGACACTGGATGTTTCTACAAAGCAGTGAGATTTAAAATTACACAAGCTCCTTGATAGTAAGGATTTTGTCTTGATTGGATTGAGAGGATCTTAGACTGAGAGTCATGGCTGTCTGTGAATGTGCGGTTCATTGGTTTGCATGAAAGTAAAGGGTCACAGCTCATCTCTGGAAATAGGCGTGGAAGTGGACAGGGCGCTGCGTTGTCTGAGTCTGTGGGTGGAGGGCTGATGGCAGAAATGGATGGCACTCTATTTGAGTAGGATGCCTTGAGGCTTGGGTCATATGCACTGCTGCTTTGGGACTAGATGGCGATGCTGAATCTAAGTCCTGGAGGGATGAGTGTCCTCCCACGTTGTCATGAAAACCAACCCTGACCTGGTACTAAGGGGGCATTGATATACTGATAGTAACGCCCAGAGGACAGACAGTGGAGAGGACTGTTGTCCTTCATGTATTGGAGGTCAGTGGATGGGAGGCCAGCAAAGTGATTCCCAGGGGACACCTGATAAAACACACCTATGAGCAGAAGTGTACTTTTTCATGGCCCCCTGTGAGATCCCCCTCAGGACTCCCACTTATACTGGGGGTGAGACCTCACAGAAGACTGGAGGTCCTGCATGAGCAGCTGGAGTGATGTTTTAGCGATGATGGTCGAGCTTACTTCTACCATAGGCTGGTGAAGCTTGGGGAAATTCAAGTTGCAAAGAATTATCCTAAGTCTCCAGTTTGTATCAGGACCCTGTGATTTTTGTAGCTTCCTTTTATGGTCCATTTATTTCACTTTGGTTGCTGGTTAAATATCAAGTATGTGGCGTGCAGAAATTTATCTTCACAAACTTGAATTGGAAACTCCCACTCCTGGTTCATTTACTCATTCATTCATTTGCAAAAAGGGCAAAGCCTTCCTCCTGGTCGCATACACCTGCGTTCGCAGTAACGCTGCTCAACAGAACAGTGCATCATGCTTTCAACCTTCTCTCATTGCTTTGCTCCAAATCCGGATAAGAGTTGCTCATCACTTTTGGTTCTTTGTTTTAGTAATTAGCATTTAACTTTACATACCCTCTCCTATGAGTTCAGGGTAATAGTTTAAGAGGCACAAGATCCAGCCCGCCCTGGCCTTTTTGCCCCTCAAAAATGCCAGGTCTGTTCGCTCTCCCAGCTTTGATGCGTGTGGCCATTCCCTGCATCTGAGCATCCCACCGTGATTCCCATGGCCAGCTCGTGGTGTTGGGCCTCAGTGCCTACCATCTGAAAACATCCTGTTTTTCTTTTCTTCTTTGGTGTCTTTTATTCCCAAACATCAACTTGGCAAGGCACCATGCTATTAGACCCATTTTGTAGATGAAGTCATCGGAAATCTGAGAAGCTGTATGACTTCCCTAATGGGATATGGTAAGTGCAGAGTAGAGAGTACAGCCTCTAGGTTCAGACTCTAAACCTCAGGCTCCTCTCAGTGTAAGCAGACGTTGTATAAGAGGTCTGTACAGCCCTGGTTGGTTTGGCTCAGTGAACGTCAGCCTGCGGCGGACTGAAGGGTCGGTTCCTGGTCAGGGCACATGCCTGGGTTGTGGGCTCGATCCCCAGTGGGGGGCATGCAGGAGGCAGCCGATCTATGATTCTCTCTCATCATGGATGTTTCTCTCTCTCTCTCCCTCTCCCTTCCTCTCTGAAATCAATAACAATATATTTTTTAAAAGTCTGTACAGCATGATTTGAGGGCACAGGCAGGGGAAGGATGAAGTCCACCAAGTGGAAAGGATGTTGGAGAAGGTTCCAGTGGAATTGGAAGGTGACTACAATTTTCCCTGGAAGAAATCTTGAGCAGATTATACAGTATCAGCAGAGACATAGAAGTGTGCTCGTGCAGGGGATGTTCAGGTTTGGTTCTTAGAACACCATGGTTTCTTGTTTTTCTTTAAATTGACTTTTAGAGAGAGAGGAAGGGAGAGGGAGATAGAGAGGAAAAAAAATCAATGTGAGAGTGAAACAATAATCGCTGCCTCCTGCATGCCCCCTACGAGGGAATCGAGTAGGTGTCCTGACCCGGAATCAAACAGGCAACCTTTCGGTGCATGGGACAACGCCCAACCAACTGAGCCACATCAGCCAGGGCTGTTTTCTTTTCTTTGTAACTTTTACTGATAAGTAAACAATGCTTAAACAAACAAACAACAACAGCAACAAAGGGAAATCCTGGAGCTGGAGAAATTCTTTGAGTAATAATTTTAGGTAAGTTTACAAATGGCTGTTGAGGAGAGCTGGATCTCTGTCAGCCTGG